TTCCTGTCTAATACAGTTTGAGCTAAGTTTCTGTTGCCTGAGATCACAGGGGCCTGATCTAATACATAGAGGAATAAATAATAACTGCCTTTCTGTGAGGAAGTCTCATTTCAATTGTTACTTTCAAGTTCTTCTACCACTTCCTCTTAACACAATGAAAATAACCAAAGAGGGCTTCCCCGGTGGCTCAACGGTGAGGAATCTGCCTGCCAATAAAAGGTCCAGATAACCTCTAATGAATAATAGATAATCCACAACCTGACAGTCAGCAGCCAACTGCACTCCTCCTACTAGAAATGCCTGGCAGGGTTATTCCTTTTTAGAAAACTCCTTCAGCTTCAATTTCTAACAAGCATACACAGCCTAAACTCCAAGTGGTATATAAACCCCTCGCTCCACCTAGATTATCTCTGCATCCCCACCCATCTAGAGCCAATGCCAAAGCCCTGCTCACTCAGGATGGTCTAATTTCTACAACCTGAAAACACACTGCTCCTCTCATGGTCTCTGGTCTTGTTTCTCCCACCCAAAACTTCCTCCTTTCCCTCTGCACGCTCAGAGAACCCCTTCAACACCAGCCTCAAGCCTCAACCCCTCCTTAAAGTATTCTTTGGCTTCTTCAGCAAACACTACTGTCTCCATCCTCTTAATTCTAGTGAAGCCAAGTCACCAGGAAACTAAAGAGGAGGCAGAGGGCATGAGAGGAGACATTCAGCTCAGGACGCACAGGAGGGAGGGCCAGCCTGCAGTCACCATGTTCTGCCACTTTTGCACCGCTTAAGAGGCCTGCTGGGAAAATAGTCTGGGGAGCCCCCCACATGTCGATGGTCACTAGAGCCACCAAGGGTGGATGAGAGCATGTGGGGAAAGCATGTGGTAGACAGAGTCATGACGATGATGATGATGTGCGTGCTCGGTCATGTCCGAATCTTTGTGACCCCACAGACTGGAGCCCACCAGGCTCCTCTGTCCATGGAATCTTCCAGGAAAGAATACTGAAGCAGGTTGCCATTTCCTACTCCAGGGGATCTTTCTGACCCGGGGATCAAACCTGCATCTCTTGCACTGGCAGATAGATTCGTTACCATCGAGCCCCCGTGGTATTTCTATCACTCAGTTGATCTGTCTCATAATGTCACTCTTCTCAGTGTCCCATTCCCCCACCTAGGCAGCGAGCTGCAGGCTGGAATTACATCCTATGCACCCCGACCCTGTCTGCACCAAGCGCAGGATGAGACACTTCGATCCTCCCCAGTCACATTTTGCCTCCCAGTAGTTGAGGCAGGCCATGCAGCCCCATCTCACAGATGAGGACCCTGAGGCCAGGGCCAGGCAGTTGAGGAGCTTCCAGAGAGAAAACCCAGATGTCGGCAAATGAATCAAAGAGAAAAAACAAAGGACCTCATGGGTTCCAAGTGAACAAACACGATCCTGACACAATTGTGTGAAAAACTACAGACCTGAGCCAATCAGAACAGTACAGTTCTCTCCTCTCTCTACCACCAGCAGGGACAAAGGTACCTACTCCTTTCTTAAACATTCATGTATTGGGACAAGGGAAAGCTACAAAATTCCACAGAGCTCCCAATGCAGGACGTGGCTTGAAGCTGTAATGGGAGGGCCTACCCAGGTAACAGGAAAAACCACCAAGGACAAGGAATCTGGAGCGCTGCGCTGAGCCTGACTCCAGCTCCCTTCTACCCTGAGACTTCCAGTCTGTCCTCAGATCACAGATAGGCCCGGAACGCTGCATAGGCAGAAAAGGCACCACTCATGCCACTGTGTGCCACAGAATTCAGTGAGATATTAAAGTATGCTGCAAGACAGAAAAGGCTCAATAGCAAGGTACTGTCAATTCTGTTACAGAAGTCCCCCCTGCCCCCAGAATAAAACCACACTGTGGTTTCTTAGTCACCTTTAAACTCCAGGCCTAAGCATGGTAGATTATACATGTCCAGGCTCTCTCTAATTGAGCATGAGCAGAATAGATGAGTTTGATTTGCTTACCTGCCCAGCGCCACCTAGGCCAGTTTCCCCCAGTTCCAGACCCCACGTGGGGAGCTGTCAGACATCATTTGCCTGCAGCACAACAAAGTCCCACAGCACACAGGTGCCAGCCAGGGGATGGGCACTCCAGACCAGGGGTCCACATGGGATGTGGAATCCACCAAGGGGGCCCTTAACTAGGTGATGGCAGCACCTTGGATGGAGAAACAGTGACAAGAGGGGCCTCCTCTTGAGGCTCTGGATCCTTGGGAAGCCAACAGGTTCCTCCCTGGAGCTCCCATAAGAGCCCTGCACTAAGGCTGTCTGCCAGGCAGAGCTTGCACCTGTGTGCAAAGTGGAACCTGCTGGGAGAGCAAAGACCAGGACACAGGGCTGAGCCTGCCTGGCTTTGGCTCCTCGGGGATGAAACCAGTGCTTCTATCCCTTCAACTTGAGCAGTGCTTTTAGGCACTGAGCTTTGTTCCACAAGACGGGCTCCCTGGCTACAAGAAAATATGCTGAAAAATCACTGCACAGTAATTCATCCTTTACAAAGATCCCGAGGTTCTGCGGTTTATGTCACACCATGTCATCCCTCATCCCCAAAAGCTCTACATGGCAACTTACCAGGTCAAATGCCATCCTATTTTTTTTCTAAAGTATTAACTAAAATTGGGCTTCCCTCGTGGCTCAGTCGGTAAAGAGACCGCCTGCAATACAGGAGTCCCAGGTTCAATCCCTGAGTCAGGAAGATCACCTGGAGAAGGAAATGGCAACCCACTCCAATATTCTTGCCTGGGAATCCCCACGGACAGGGGAGCCTGGTGGGTTATAGTCCATGAGGTCGCAAGAGTCGGACACGACTTAGCGCACAACAACCAAACAAAAATGAACTTAACTTTCCTTTGAAAAGCTACACAGCTCTACACTGTGTTAAAACTAGGGTCTGAAAAGCTGCCCTGGAGAATAAAATCCAAACCTTATTTCATCCTTTCCTTAGAAGTCAGACCAGCTTCCAGAACTTCAGCTCAGAGAGGCCCCACCTTATACACCACGCATGGAAAAGAGAGGGACCTAATTAATGACAATTCATCTATTCCAGAGATTAAAGCTGGCGCTGATTCAAACACATCCCACCCAGAACTTGAGTCTGCATTCTAACTTCCGCCAGCTTCCTTGATCAATTTCTTCCTTCAAACACAGACAGCTAGACAGACAGCAAGGCAACTAAAAAGATACTATGTATAAAATAGGTATATAACCGGAGAACCTACTGTGTAACACAGGGAATTCTACACAATGCTTTGTGGTGACCTAAATGCGAAGGAAATCTACAAAAGAGGGGATATAGGATATACCTTTAGCTGACTCACTCAGTAAAGTGACAAACTAACAGCAAACACTACTACAACATTGCACAACAACTGTACTCCAATAAAAAAATTAATTTAAAAAAAAGAAAAGAAAAAGTTATCCCAAAGAGATTTCCCTCTGACCTTATTATCTTCATAGCCACATCCAACAGCTCTTCTCAACATGTTCCGAACCATCATCCCAGGGGAGGACTAGGCTGACCAGCATAAATGATCATAATTGGGGGACAATGCAGATTTGAGAGACGAAAATGTTAGAGTCAGAAACCCACAGTGGAGACAGAAGGGCCACCAATGAAACGATCTGCTGTGTAGCCAGCAGTTTAGTCTCTCTCTGTCAGCTGCCTTCACTACAAAAAGTTAGTTGAGATGGCCAATATCCAATGGAGCTGTTACCAGGAACAGCTTATAAAATCATCTCCTTAATAAGTCAAGCTTTTAACAGCCAAATAAACGGGTCTCATCAGCCTGTGTCCCACAAGTTGTTACAGGCAGTTTGTCAGCCCTCTCCATTCACTTTTAAAACAAAGACAAGACATAGAAAAGGTGGTACTTGCTGCTTCCTGGCTCCAAAGGGGTTAAATAAAATAATGGGTCATAATTGGAAACTCCTGGTGCCCAATACTTTGAGCGACTTAACCACTCCAAGCTGGAGTTTTCTCTCTGGCAAAGCAGGAATCATAGCTCACAGAGTGGTAACAATTAAACATGACAAAGCAGAGTGCCTGTCACAACAGTAGGTGCCCAACAATTGCTGGCTCTTCCTTCCTCAGAGCTATGCTTTCTTCCTCAGCTTCCCTGTCTAAAAGCCTGGCTTTCCACAGTCCCCAAACAGCCCACACCAAGCCTACCAGTTGTCACCAACACCCAGCAATACCCACCGCCCCAACACACACACACTGGAATACTCACAGATTCATCATCCACCAGCCAAGGGTACCAGCCACCAGCCTTCCCTCCTCAAACAGCTGGCGCACCCTCAGGGAAGGAACTGAGCCCCAGCAGCTACTACTAAGATTTTCCCATGGTGCAGTGCAACTTCCCCCAACTTTTCCCGGCCCACAGTTTCCAAAGAAACCTAGCAGGCATTGTGCATAATCAACCACAAGTCTCGGCGAGCAAAACAGACTGAGCTCAGAGCAGAGGGAGCTAAGAAAATCATAAAGTGAAAAGGCACGAGTGGTCCTGAAACCGGGTGTCAGGGACCAAAACTCAGGAGTACCAGCCCTGGCCCGGGTTCTATTCTTCTAGATCTTAACACTGATTGAAGACTAGCAGAGGTTCTCCAAGGGCTGGTGGATTTAGAGTCTTAGAAAAGGGACTGACCGGACATGCGCCCCGCAGGCTGGACTCGGGGGGTCTCTAGTGGACCCCACCGCGTGCCGCGGCACCTGGGGAATGAAGGCCTACAGTGCCGGGCATTGTTCACAGCAAGGGCGGGATTGGAAGAGGAGGTGGGAAGTGGGGGGGGGGGGGGTCCACGCATCAGCCCCTCCCCCGGCGGGCTGAAGGAAAGCAAATTTTCCCCGCGGCCAGCGCCAGGTAGATGAATGGCCCTCGCGACCTCCCCTCTCGGAGAACCGGAGAGAGGAGTCGCGGAAGGCGGATGCGAGGGGCCGGGCAGAGGGGTCTGACACTCACCGGCGCCCTCGGCGGGCTGCGGCGGCCCGACGACGCCGTTCAGGTAAAGGATGGGCAGCAGGTGAGGCTGCGTCTTCTCCAGCGCCGCCCGCAGGTCGTGGAAGTGGTCCCGCTCCTTGGCCAGCAGCAGCTTGAGCAGCAGCTCCGCCTTGGCGCCTCCCGCCTCCTCGTCCAGCTGCCGCCGCTCGCCGGGGCTCAGCGCTCCCGCGGCCTCGAGCAGCCCAAGCACGGCCTCCACCTCCGTCATGGCCTGGGCCAGGCTCTGCTGACACTGGGCGAGCAGCTCCCGGCGCTGGGGCTCCATGGTAGCGGCCGCCCCGCCCCGCCGGGCCGGAGGGCTCCCGGGCTCCCCGAGGCCGGCGGGCAGGCGCGCGCGCGCGCGCAGGCGGGCAGGCGGCGGCGGGACCCGGGCGCCTCGGGGCGGCGAGCGCTGGCGGTCGCCCTAGCGCGCCGGGAGCCGCGAGGCCGCGGGGGCCATGGGCCGGGGCCTGGGCGGGCTGGGGGCCCGGGCGGCGAGCGGCGCTCAGCAGCGGCCGCCTCCCGGGCTCAGGAGCGCAGCCATGTTGGCTGCGGCGGCGGCGGCGGGACTGGAAGAGGAGGAGGAGGAGGAGACGGAGGAGGAGAAGGAGGAGGCGGAGGTGGGGACGGCGGCCGGGGCGCGCCCCGAGGCCCGGCTCCAGCCGGGCATGCTCCCCCTCCCCTCCCCCTCGGTGCGCGCCGCTCTCTCGCCGGCCCCGCGAGAAAAAACTCGCCCCGAAACGTCGGCCCCGGCGCCGCCCCCCGAACACAATCACAACTCCGAGAGCAAAAATGGCCCGGTCGTGTGCGCCAGGCCCCCTCGACGGCTCAAGGGCCCGCCTCGGCGCGGCCCGTTCCGTGCGCCCCGGCCCGGCTCACCGGGGCCCCGCGGCCGCCGCCCGCTCCGCCATGCCCGCGCCCAGCCGCCGCCGGTCTGTCCCTCCGCCCTCCTCTTCTTTCCCCTCCCTTACCCCGGCCGGCCTTTCAGGAGCCCGGGCGGCCGGCCCCGAGGGGATGGGCGAAGGGGAGGGGTCCCCACCTCCCCGCCCCGAGCCCGCCTGGGAGGCGGGGACACCGCGCGCGCTGGCCCTCCCGGTCTCCGAGGCCCAGGCTCCACCCGCGGTGGAGTACGCGGAGTTAGGGGCCCGGTGGGAAGCAGCCCGCCCCCTCAGCTAGGCACATGGCCAGCCCCCAAGCTATTGGAGACCCCCTCCAAACAAACCCCCCCCCGCCCCCGGTCTAGCGTTTTCTAATCTGAAATACTCCACAATCAAGCCTGGAGACAATAGAGGGGATGTCCCCTAAACTTGGCCATCTCCAAATTTAGACCGCCCGCAAATCTGTGAGATATGCCCACTCACTGCAAGGAGCTCTTATATAGAAAATGGTGGTGGTTTAGTCGCTAAGTCATGTCCGACTCTTGCGACCCCGTGGACTGTAGCCGGCCAGGCTCCTCTGTCCCTGGGATTCTCCAGGCAAGAATACAGTCCCAGGGACAGAGGAGCCTGGCCGGCTACAGTGCATTAGCAGGCAGATTCTTTACCGACTGAACTAGAAGGGAAGCCCCATATAGAAAATATCCCAGTATTATCCCCTGAGACCGGGTTAATCAGGATCTATGCCTCACCTGCATTTTAGATGGGTTGGTTCCCAGTGTCTAAAGAAGTGGGATGTTGGAGCCAGAGAAGGAGGGATGTGTTGCTCGAAGAACAAGAGTGGTGGGGTGTGCTGTGGAGCCACCGCATCTTTTTGGCAAGAGAAGTGCTCTCCTTCGTAGATGTCACCCCGGATTCCAGTTAGTCTCAGGAGAAGATAAATCCATGGGCTGCAGAAGCCTTGCTCGCCTGATGGCCTCAATGAGGATCTACACTTGGGCTCCAAGTCCAAGAAGGTCTCCTGCCCTTGCGGACACATACCATTTACCTCCTGACCACAGGCGGAGGTCCTTAAAAGCTGGACTCCCAACTGAGCACTTCCAATAATCCCACCTCGCTAGTGTAGAGTGGAAATCCCAGGGCTGGTGGAAACGTCTCTGTTTCATTGAGTGAAGCTCATTTACAAACCCTGGGGATCACAGGTGCCTTTTCTGCTGTCACCCCCACCACCAGCATCACCACTACCATGCTTCCCCTCAGTAGCAGCTTTCTTCCATGCTGCTTCTTTAGGGGGATGAGTCACTTTTATTTAGTGGGCACAAACTCTATGTATAGTGATTAGAACAAAAGTACCAGAGTTTGCACTTCAGTTTTGGATTTCCTTTTAAGTAGCTACACGGTGTGGAAGCAAATCAATTGCCCTGGCTGTTCTCAGTTTTCTCCTAAGAAAAACAGGATTGGGGCGGAGGGGAGAGTATATCCCATCAGGGGCTATGAACAAGCTCGAGAGTGTCAGTGAAGCTTTTGAAATTATCTAAGCCTCTTTTTGTAGGCACATATTGTCTACAATGGGCTTCCCTGGTGGCTCAGGGGTAAAGAATCCACCTGCCAATGCAGGAGACACAGGTCCAACCCCTGGGTCGGGGAGATCCCCTAGAGAAAGAAATGACTAACCCACTCTCCAGTATTCTTGCCTGAAGAATTCCATGGACAGAGGAGCCTAGCAGGCTACAAATCCATGGGGTCGCAAAAGAGTCAGACATGACTGAGTGACCAAACAACAACAGCAACAAATTGTCTACAATATGTATTTTTCTGGGACAGAAGTCCATACCTTTCATCGAATTCATTAAGGGCTCCATGACCCAAAGTGGACCCAAAATGGTGGAACTCAACTCTTTTCAGAGGACTCCCTTCTTAGGTAGTCTGGGTTTCTATAACTGAGGAAGGTTCTAGGGGATGGGAAGGCTGTTCTATTGCCCAGTGTCAGGGGTCTAGACAGGCTCCCTCCCTGTCTTTCCCACTCCTGCCCCTGAAAGGTGGCTCCCCCTTCTGGTCACCTGTTCCCCTACATCCTAAATCATCTGCAAAGGCATCCACTCTTTAGGACACACTGGGAGCTCTGTTCCTAGCTGGATTAACTAGAAATCTAGGGGTGGGAGGGAGGTGGAACAGAAGAGGAGAAGTTTGGGAGACTAATTTGGTCTGTGGTTAGGACAAACTGTGACTGAGTCCTAGGTCCAAACAGTGCCTAGTAGGAGAGGGCAGGAGGGAGGTACCGTCTCCCAGTAACCCCTAAAAAGAGGCGAGGAGCTTGGGTGCTGTGTCCCTGGAAGTTTTCCCGGGAAGCAGTGAGGAAGTCCATTTGCTATGAGTGCTTTCTCCCAGGGGCTACAGTGTGATAGATGATTTCTTTCAGCAGACCCTTTATTGGAAACTCTGGGGTTTTATGCAAAACATAAATTCTGGAGGAAATCATTTACTTTATAAACATCTTCAACCTTAGGAGTTCTTTAGCCAGTGACCTTGATATGACCTTGCATTTCTTTAGCTTTTTAACTCCTTTAGGGCATCTCCCATCACACCATTCCCTTTGTGCCCTGCTCTAGGTTGAATTGTGTCATCCCCCCCCTCAAAAAAAAGATGTTTGAGCCCTGACTCACAGCACTTGTGAACATGACCTGATCTGGAAATAAGGTCTTTACAGATATAATCAAATTAAAACAAGGTCATGGGACTTCCCTGCTGGTCCACTGGTTAAGAATCTGCCTTGCAATGCAGGGGTCATGGGTTTGATCCCTGGTCAGGGAACTAAGATCCCACATGCCACAGAGCAACTAAGCCCATGCACACACTCCAGTCCGTGTGTCACAATGAAAGATCCCACAACTAAGGCCCGGCACAGTCAAATAAATAAATATTTTTAAAATGACGTCATATTGGATTGTTGTTGTTGTTTAGTCACTCAGTCGTGTCCAACTCTTTTGTGACCCCATAGACTGTAGCCCACTGGGCTCCTCTGTCCCTGGGATTTCCTAGGTAAGGAGTGGGTTGCTGGATTAGGGGGGCCCTAATTCAGAGTCTAATGTTCTTAGAGAAGAGGGAAATTTGGACACAGACACACACAAGAATACCATATGAAGACAGAGGCAGAGGTCGGAGTGCTATATCTACAAGGCAAGAAACGCCAAGGATTGCCAGCAATCTCCAGAAGCTGGGAAAAGAGACCTGAAATAGACTCCGGCAGAACTTCCCAGAAGGAACCAATTCTGCCAGAACCCCTACTTCTGACCTTCGGCCTCCAGAACTGTGAGCTAACAAGTATCTATCATTTTAAGCTCCCCAAGTTTGTGGTAACCCACTCAGTATTCTTGCCTGGAGAGTCCCATTGACAGAGGAACCTGGTGGACTGGAGTCCATGGAATAGAACAGAGTCAACACGGCTGAGCGATTGAGCAACAACAGTTTGTGGTAACTTAGTACAGCAGTCCCAGGAAACTAATACAGTCTCGTTACAGTGGACAAAGATGGGTGTCCGTATTTTACACATCACCTGATCACCTCACTCTTCTTCTGCCTAAGAATTTCTCTATAGATTTGCAGACCTTTCCTCCTTCTGATCTTAGAAGAAGAGGGCCTTTCCTCCTTGACAACAGCCCTCCAGACTCTGGACAGAATCTTTGCACCCCCTCCCTGCACACAGACACACACTCAAATGGCCTCCCTTCCCTTTGTCAACAATCAGGCCTGAGTCTCCCCATTCTCAAAGGGGCCCTTCCATCTCTCGTGTCCTCAAGAAAGAACCAGTGCCTGACAACAGAACCTCCACACGCTCATGGACCCCATATCCCTCGGTTGGCGCTTTGCAATCTGACTTCTGAGAACAATTCCCCCCTAGAGAACTGCTCCCCCCACTTAGATCTCCTGACACCACCCCAAGGCCTTTCCTTCACTCTGGAGCAGGACAGACTTGAGTTCAGATCCCAGCGCTGACACTCACTCCCTAGATATCTCTGGGCTAGTTAACGTTTTTGAGCATCCATTTCTGCATCTCAACCTTGGGAGTGAACATCCCCCTTTGGTGGAGTTACTAGGAGTATTCAGTGATAGGACTTATACGAAGCCCTCAGTATGTGGCAGGCATATGAACGCCGTAACGTAGTGCTTGCAGGCAACTACAGCAGTTGGAATGCCTGATTTATTTACTTTTCTAATATTTACTTGGCTGCACCAGGGTTTAGCTGTAGCATGCACATTCTTAGTTGTGGTATGTGGGATCTGGTTCCCTGACCAGGGATCAAACCTGGGCCCTCTGCATTGGGAACATGGAGTCTTAGCCATTGCATCACCAGGGAAGTCCGTAGAATGCCTGACTTATAGAATGGCTTTGCATTTTATTAGCTGGGTTGTTGTTGTTTAGTCACTAAGTCATGTCTGACTCTTTTGTGACCCCTGTGGATGGTGGCCTGCCAGGCTTTTTTGTCAATGGAATTTCCAAGGTAAGAATACTGGAGTGGGCTGCCATTTCCTCCTCCAGGCGAATCTTCCCAACCCAGCGATCGAACCTGGGTCTCCTGCATTGCTGGTAGATTCTTTACCACTGAGCCACCTGGGAATCCTATTAGCTGGATGACACTGGATAAACCTCTTTGTGCTTCAGTTTCTTCATCTATTGATGAGGGATAGTATCAAGAATTATATCAAAAGAGTTAATGCTCAATTAATAGCAGGTGCAGTGTTCTTTTGGCTTCCACCGTCTCATCTGTCTGAAAGGAAAGACTCCCTGTAGCATGTAGCAACAGGTTTTCAGCAGTTGTTTTTAGGCTTCTGAAAGAATGGTGTGGGTTCCAGCAGAAAGACGTCTATTTCACTTCTATTCAGAGGACAGGTGAGGACAGGGGCCCTTTCTCTGTTGTTCTCTGCTGTGCCCGCCTCCCACAACGCCTGGCATGTGGTGGTGGGTGCTCAACTGATACTGTTTAATTAATAAGTGAAGAGAATGAATGAATGAATGAACAAAAGAGTTTTGCACTAAGGCCCTGCTTCAAAAAATAATATCTGCTTAAAAAAAAAAAAAGGAAAGATGAGGAAAGAGAGCATCTGAAAAAGGAGCAGCATCAGAAGCATCATAAGAGAGGTTGTATTCTTGCTTGGAAAATTCCACGGGCAGAGGAGCCTGGCAGGCTATAGTCTGTGGGGCCGCAAAGAGTCAGACATGACTGAGTGACTGAGCACCAAGAGACAGTCACATCTGCAGGCAGGGGGCAGGCTGGGAGCTCCAGGCAGAGCCACCACCCCTGG